CAGAGTGCTTGTCTGTGCTCATTTGTCATTTTTCTAAATCCATTTTATTCCTTGGGGAGGTGCCTGCCCTGGGGTAAAGGAATATGATAGAGGTATGATAGCAGAAAGCCCATTTTTTGCATTCAGCACTAATCCAGATGTCAGGTATTTTTAAATAAGCAGCTAGTCTTGCTGGGGTGAGAAATCCACACATGCAGTACAAATATTGTGGTCAAACCATCAACAAAATATTTTAATGTGCAGATGTAATTTGGAAATCCTGTTCTACTTGTTTTGTATTGTAGGTGGGTTGGTGTTTCCTGGTGGTACTTATCATACTTGGATGCTTCCTCTTGGGGGTATTCTGACAAGATGAATAGACAGCTGTTGGCTGAGCCTGATATTTTCTTACACACCCTTTGCACTCTTATCCTTGTTAGTTGAGCCCTCAGTCCTTCCTTGGTCCAGCTGCCCATAAGTCTGCTCTGGGTGTTTGACAAGGACCCTTACCCAGGCACACATATTCATTCATTGACAAAGAACAGTCTGCTTCCATCCTCAGTCTAGGATGAGAATTTGGGTTCCCTTTCTATACAGGTAGGATGGAGTGATGGCAAATAACACAACCACTTAAGCTGCTCAGTGACAGAGGACTGTTTCAAAAAGCCCACTTCCTCTGTCCCCAGATATGTGGGTGCTTTTTCCCTATGTTGTTCTATTTTGTAAACAGATCACCTTAAAGCAACATATTTAGAGCTAATGTGTTTGACTTTGCTCCAGAACAGTTGGAAATAAAATTGCTCAGATAGGAACACTTTCCAGACAGAACTGATGAAACTGAAAGTGGAGAGGCAATTTAGGGAACAATTTAGAGCAATTTAGTTCGTTTTGCTGCTCATTTTTAATTGATGCCTCGCTGCTAAGGCTGTCTATGCCATAATTTGGACATGCAGGATCAGAAGACTCAGTAAGAGCAAGTGCTGGGGCCAGGCTGGACAAAATGTGCATTGACAAATGGTACAGGAATGTCCTGAGTCCCTCTTCCACTAGCAAGGAATCAATGAAATAGCATCATGCTCTGTCTGCATTCTGTGTACACTCATTTCTCATGAAAGGGGCACACAAGCCACTTTCAGCAACATTCATGAGAGTATTTCTCTGTGGAGGAGGAATTTTCCACATCTGCAAGTCACTTTAAGCAATGCTCTAAGGTTGTTGAGAAGCTACCAGATTGATGCCTATATCTGTTGTGTTGCATTGGCAGCAAAATAAGAACTTACTAATGTATCTTTTTCTAAACAGCTATTCAAACTTGGCAATGTTCAGAAAATTGTCCTAACAGAAGGTATTGCTTTAGGAAAGGTAAGAACAGGAGAGCAAATACAAACTGAGTTTTGAAGTCTGATAAAGTGACTTTTGTTCTTTGAGTTCTTGTGGCCATCACTAACATTTTTGGCTATTTGTAGAAATTTGACAATGTGTTGATATATGAAACAACTTCTTCTTCTCCTCCTCCTCCTCCTCCTCCTCCTCCTTCTTCTTTCTTCTTCTTCTTCTTCTTCTTCTTCTTCTTCTTCTCCCTCTTCTTCTTCTTTCTTCTTCTTCTTCTTTCTTCTTTCTTCTTCTTCTGCTTTCTTCTTTCTTCTTCTTATCCTCCTTCTTCTCATTATTAAATGGAGAAACTGTTTCTGACAAGGCAGGAAAAGCACTGTCATGTCATTTCACCACATCTATACTTACTGTATTGGCATATTCAGTGTCCTCCCATTTCTCTCAATTAACCACGCTCTATATTCAAAAAGCTGCAAAATCAGTTATGTCCACAATGTTTACCTTCTATTATAATTGAGAGCTGAAGTTTGCGTACTCTGAGAAATAGATGTCAAAGATGTCAGAAACTTACAGTTTCTGTAGAAATGTCCAATTTGGAAATACTGAAGTCTAAACTTGAAATTGACAATCACTGATACATAATTTTAAGAAAGAGTATATATATATAGACAAAAATGTGTTTGTTTAATAAGATCTGAATTCAAACGATGAAAAAAAATCAACCTAAAAAAACTCACTATCATCCTGTGGTCTATGTTAGATACTGAATTAAATTATTTGATATGAACAACAGCAAGGGGATATTAAAAGTTGGAATTATGTTATCCTCTGATTAAATTAACAATTAAGCATGGAAAAGCAGACACCTGTGGGCAGGACTGTAAATGGCTTTCTAAAGTGATAACCTCTCTCCAAGTCTTCTGTTTTGGTATAGGTTGAGACTAGTCATATAAATGTTAATAGATTAAATTCAACAGGGGAGAAGTCATTGTGTGGGCAAGGTGCATGCTGACACTTACCTGCAGTTTAATTATACAGTGACCCTTTGGGTCAGCAGACACCATTTGAGGTCCCAATTGCAGGTTAAGCAGCAAAATAATAATGCTGTGAGTATAGAACAAATGAGATAAGCTTCGTACAGACTGCAAGGAACTGAGAAAACATCATTGTTCTTATGTTAATATGGAAGATGACTCTGTGGTTTTATCTTCCTGATTTTTTCATAGACTTGGTTCATCTATGATGCTTTAAAAGTCTATCTGTTATGTCAATGTTCCCCAAGGATTGTTTTCTTAGGAGAGAAACCAAATTCAGTTCTTTAGTCGGCTATCTAACTTGCTAGTCAGTGAAAGCCATGATTAAAAGTAGCATGATGTCAAAAGCTGCTGTTACATGTGTGCTACCAGCAGTCTGGATACAGCCAGATATCTGATTTTTTTTTATGAAAGTAGACTGTTAGGTGGCAGAAATGGTAGAATTTTGAATAATTCTGTGAAGTTCATGTACAAAAGAAATGCTAATTACACTTCAAACTAATTGGTTCATGAGATCTGTATTAGAATGTAGCTAAGACTACACTGAGTGGAGAGATTTGGGTAACTAAATACCACAAGCTGCATAGCTGAACGTCCCATCTTCTAACACAAAACAAATGCTGTAAATGAAGTCATGAAAAACAATGAAGAAACTGTCTAGTCAATAACTTTATTACTATATCAGTAATAATAACTGAAGTACTTCTATTTCAACACATAAAAGCATAGACCTTTTTAAGCGAAATTTACTAAGGCATATATCTAATGTGACTTTTCCAACTCTAAGTCAGCTAAAAGCTGAAGATATCTGCATCTAGAGTGAAGCCTGAAAATTAGACAATGCTGCTCTTTCGTATGATGGGCACTCCATTTTTCTCGTTGACTTAGAGAAGAAACGCTGCTCTAATTCAAGGACTTCAAATATTTCTTTTCTAGTTGATGTTCATCTCACAATCTACCCAAAAAGGACTGCTATTTTGTGTCTGGAAGAGAAGGATAATAGTTTTTTATACATTAATGATTATTTAGTGTTTGAAAAACTGCCTCTCTTCAGAGCCCTCCTAATGGATTAGGTGTGGAAGTACTTGTATCACTTAGAAGTTGGGTGCTAGGTATAAGCCCTACAAAGCTGAGACAGGTGTCTGCCTTCTTGATGAGCTCCATCAGATCTGGGCTCCTAGACTGCCTTCACAGAAACTGTTTGATGGGTATAAAACCCAAGAGAGCTGACAGAAAATACCAAAGGCAGAAGCATGCCTGAAACTCTGGTTCCCCACTCAACCTCATGGTCATGATTGTAGTTGGAAAAGTCTGAAAATAAAATGTAGACCATCAAAGTCACCTCTTCTGCTTTGGCTGCAGTCACCAGCACTATCCACTCAGGACGTGAGAGAATTGTTGCCCCTTCTGTGAGGAGAACTGTTTCTGTCAGGGATTCATAGGTTTTTGCAGAGCAGATGGGGTTGCTCAGGTTTGGTCAGAAACACAGTCTAGATGGGTTTGATCCAAATCAAGTCCAGCTGTCAGACCAGAACAGCAAACGTGAGCACAAATGCTCAGATTTCATCATGGTATGGGTGTGGTAAGAAATATTGAAGTAAAAATTTCTGCAGAACCAGTTAACTGTATTTTGTTTGCCCCTTCTCTTTCTTCAGTCATCATGAACAAAAATGCCTGACCAGTGTGACTAATGTGCATCTCTTAATTTCAGTTTTGTAGCATAAAAAGAGAGATGTCACAGAAGCATCTTTCCTAAATTGGATCTTTATATCAATAACTCATTCAAGGTTTTGATGGCTTTGTTCCAATGAAAAAAAAAACAAATAAAAATCTAATTTGTCCTTTAATACAGAGAAGAAAGAGGGAAAGAGACAAAGAAATGCACACAGTGTTCTGAGAAACTAGAATGCCATGTGGATAAAACAAATAAAACTATGTTCCTTTCAGAAAATGCTTAGAGAAAAAAAATGTCTACATGTCTTGCATGTATTTTTAAACACCAAAAAAAGTTTATACTTCTCGACAAAGAAGTCTAGAATCTCAGTTTTGAGAAAAATCACTTTAGCAGTGGACTGAGCAAGAGCAAAGGCTGCAGGAGGCAAACAGAAGCTGCAGAGGAAACACAAGTTTAGTCTGATTCACTCTAATGCCGTTTTCTCTCCAGAGGTATGCTAGCAACTTTTAGGTTAAAGACAATTGTGACTACTGGATCTATCTACACTGCTATTTTTAATTGGAATGAAACTTGCACAGATGATGCTACAGATGTTTAATTTTACTGATATTGAGCCTGTTTCATTAATATGCATGTTGATTGAATAACTAACTATGAACCTTCTTAAATGTGCTTCTAATCACATCAGCGTTAAATATTAACTGGAAACCTAACTCTATCATTCCATCATATTCTCTTTTTCCCAGCTTATCATTACATGTGCTTCAATGGAAGCAGTTATTTTTGCTGATAATTTCATTTATCATAAATAAACACATTTCTCATGATTGTTATTTACTTAGCTGAATGTTGCAGTACTTACAGTATGCAACTAGGTGAAAACAATGTTCAATGGAGGACAGGTTTGGGAGTGAAGTTTCTAGTAAAAATTTTGCCTCAAGGATTTTGTGCTATCTTTTCTTTCTCTTTTTCATTTTCAGGGAATATTTGTCCTAGGATTGCCGTATGCTCTCCTCCACAGTGGGTACAGTGGCCTACTTCTTATTGTCGTGGCTGCAGCATTATGCTGTTACACAGGCAAAATTCTAATCATTTGTTTGTATGAAGAAAATGAAGATGGGCAACTTGTGAGAGTGAGAGACACGTATGAAGATATTGCAAATGCCTGCTGCAAAAAGCTATCTCCCAAACTAGGGGGCATAATTGTCAATGTGACCCAAGTGGTGGAACTGATCATGACATGTATTTTGTATCTGGTTGTTAGTGGGAACTTGCTGTCACACAGTTTTCCGTATGTAGCACTGACTGAGAAAACTTGGTCTGTAGTTGCATTTGTTACTCTGTTACCTTGTGTATTTATCAGAACTCTCAAAATTGTTTCCAAACTCAGCCAGCTTTGCTCCTTGGTTCACTTTGTTATCATCCTTGTAGTGATGACTTACTGTCTCACACAAATACACCAGTGGTCCTGGGCAAAATTCAGACTCTCCATTGACTTTGAGGACTTCTTGGTCTCCATAGGAGTGATTATTTTCAGTTACACTTCACAAATATTTCTTCCCACACTTGAAGGTAACATGCAAAACCCGGGGGAATTTAGGTGTATGCTGAATTGGACTCACTTTTTTGCCTGTGTCTTGAAAACAACCTTTGCACTGACTGCTTTTTTGACCTGGGGTGAAGAAACAAAGGAAGTTATTACAGACAACCTGCCATCATTTCTTAAAACACTAGTGAATTTATGTCTCTTAACCAAGGCTCTTCTTTCTTACCCTTTGCCCTTTTTTGCAGCCACAGAAATTGTGTGTTCTTCTATTTCTAAAGGCAACCATTCCAATTACAGATCTCCACTACTTTCTCTGGGTGTAAGAGGCTCATTTCTCTTGTTAACTCTGCTGATGGCCATGTTTACGCCACATTTTGCCCTGTTGATGGGTTTATCAGGCAGCGTAACAGGTGCTGCTATGACTTTTCTCCTTCCCTCTCTCTTCCATTTAAAACTTAAATGGAAAAACCTGTCCTTCTTGGAAAAATGTGCAGATATCTCTGTTTTTATTTTGGGCTTCCTTTGTAGCCTTGCAGGCATAGTTTGCTCAATAAAAGGGCTGCTTGAAGTATTCGGAGGAGTGTAAAAGATTTCCTGAAAGACAAATAAAGACCAAATCTTATAAATGCTTTTTACTCTGTTAGTCAGTATATAAGAGATTTTGTCACTAGTTAGAATTGAACATATGCTTAAAGGTTTGCAGAATTAAGGCTTCAAGTTTTGAAAAAATATATGGCTCTAAGCAAACTGGAAAATAACCTTTAAAGCCAAAACCTACAAAACTAGTCCTTTTTAAAATCTTGAGAAGAAAGATGATGTTGGAGATGACTTAGTGTGAAAATAATTTTAAAGTAATCATATATGGTTTTATTCATACGTGACAAGCACATCCTAAAATTACTACTGCAATTGATCCCACCAGTTTCACCAGAATTCTTGATAGGGTTACATACTGTTCAGTCTCAAAGCTATCAAAACTAGCTTACAGGAAGTGAGTTAGAGAGAACTATTATTGCAAATGGATGAAATATGATTTCACATTACTGGCAGAGAGCAATTCAACATGTGAACAGAACAAATCAGTGAATTTTGTTTTATATGTAAGACAAATTCTACTACTTGTTTTTTAAATGAATAGGCAAAAAGAGAGCTCAGTTTAGAACAGCTTTGGAAGCCTGCTTTTATCATGAGTTCAAATGGGAATGCAGTCAGAGTAAAAGGGGCGTTCTAACAACTCAAAGTCATGGAAAAGAGAACTTGTTCTGAAATAAGCCATAGCCAGTGACTGCAGCATTTCTGCAAGTGTAAGTCCCAAGATTCATACCTCTGCAATGCAGTTATTCCATTGGTTGGGTTACAAAAAATCTCGCTGGTAACATGAAAAAGTTAACATGCAGTTCACTTTCCCTCTTAGGCAGGAAATTTCTTTGATCTGTGTATTTTATCTGATTCTATTAAAAGCTCAATGAAGTAAATCAAGTTCAATAAACAGTAACACAGTTAACTTCTTTTACAATTTCGTAGATCTTTAGATTTAAAAGACAATTGGCTTAACAAAAAGATCAAAATTGCAATGCATTTTACATTAATGATAAAACATTATGACAAGAAGCAACCCAATCAGAGTACTCTAATGAATACATATCATCTTATTGCACTAAATCTGTTATATTGGGCAATTAAAGTAATCATTTCGAAGAAGAAAGTGTACATTTTTGTTATGAATAATTTCACACAGCTTTCTACTGTGTCATATGGAAAACTCTTTGCATGTCAACATAAGATTGGATGATAAACAGCCTAGGAGTAACTGCTTAACTAAACTATCTTGCTATGTAGTATCTTAGTATTAATGCTTCTGTCCTGTGTGAGCAACAGTTTCCTCTCAAAGCTAATTTGCTGAAGGATAAATAACATCCCATTAAACAAAACAAAGGACTTCTGAAAAGCCTCGTATGTCACGTTGTTCCTTCCTTGTCTGCTAATGTATACTTGTCATTTGGAATAGTGACAAAAAGTTTATTAAAAGAGATGAATTGCCTAATCATAATATTATGAAGAAAACTGTGGAAGTAACTAGTCTATTAGAATTTTATTACTTCTTCTGTAAAATGGGTAAAATCTGCATTCAAATCCACAACATATTTATTGATATTAAAATTTGTGCTAGAGCAAATAGGAGGTATGCATTTCTAAGGAGACTTTTTATTTTTATGTAAAATGTCAAAAATACATTACTCATTGAAACAGTTGAAAGCTTATTATTACTGCTATGATGCTGTCAGAAGGATATTCTTACTCGGATGATATTAATCAAAGGGTATCATTACTTTTTGTGTGTGAAGCTTCATAGACAGACAAATATGCAGGGACCCTATTTGTTCTATTTATCCTGTATAAATCTCTGAGGACAGAGGGAGGTTGTCCAAGGAGTTTTGTAAAAATTCTTTCAGTTACTTTACTTAAAAATTTAAAAAAAAAAAAAAAAAAAAGGGTGTCATTTTCCCCATCTCCTACTTTTATTAAATGTGTTTTGTCGCTAACTCTTCAACAAAACGTAGGATTACCTCAGTGTATTTGCTGAGAAAAGATTGAAAATGGGAAAAGCAATTTATTTGTATGGCAGTTTTGGGAACTCCTTGTCTCATCAGTGTGATTCAAAACTGGCTTTAGCTGGACTTTCTTCTCAGACTTTTCAAGAAGCTCATGCCAATTCCTTTCGAATCAAAGATAGCCATTAACCACTTAAACATGATCTCTCACTTATGTAAGATCTTTCCAACATGGGTAAATTATTTCTCTTTCATAAGATATGTACTATTTTTCCTTATTTAATCATTTATATAATTTATGTTAACAGCAGGGAACAGCAAGGGCTATGATTAACAAGTAGATACAACTGTAAATGCACAAAAGAGAAAGTCATCCAAGTGTAAGGCCTCTAGAAGTCACTTACAGAGACCACTAGGTTAAGAGAGAAAACATAGTTTTAGATTCCCTTGTTATGACCAGTAGTTGGCAATTTTGAAGAGTGCCATTGCTTGTGGAACACAAAAGCTGTATGAGCTTCCCTTTAAAGCTACAGCCAGATATCTTGATGAGAAACTGTCTTTTGGGGTCAAGATTAAATGAAGCTCTCAGCTTGGAAAGGCAGAGATATGCAGATCAGCCTGAAAGTGGTGCTCAGCACACTACAAAGACAAAAATAAATATTCATGATGTAAGGCCAACTCGCTGGATTTCATTTCCTAAAACACACAATTGCATATTTTTAGATAAAAACTTATTTCTGAACATTTTCCAATGGCAAAATTCTGTTAAGAATATACATAAAATATTAGCAACTTTCTACATTAGACATATATTACCACCAATAGAATATGTTCAGAGCATCGGGAAAGGTAATATTACTAGCAATTATGAACTAGGAAGAACTACATTTATTTATGTAATGTCTATTAGGAATTTTTGTCACTAAATTTATACTACCAATCATTAGAATCATTGAAGCTAGGAAAGTAAAAGACTGACTAAACATTAATCTATTATTTTTGGGCCACTCCTTGATTATTCATTGTAATATGATGGTGTTTTATCAAAATTAATTCTGAAAGCAAACAACCAAGAGTAGTAAACATTAAGAAAATGCTTACGAACAAATTACGTGTTGAAATAAAGCACTTTCTAACAGTCTTGCTTCATTTGTTTTGCCAGTAGAAGTATGAGTAAAGGAACCTGTTTCCTTTCAGCAACAGGGACACAGGCACTGCCCAAAATGCTTCTCCCATTTTGTAGGGATTGCTGCGTCAATACCAAACCGTGCATTCCTACTTCTGACAGTAGTCATGCAGATTTAAGTGAATCAGATTACTCTAAATTAAAAATGTTGGCTCAGCTAAGGCATCTGAGGAACTTCAAGTGTTTATTTACAAAGTCTTTTCAAAGTTTAAGTCTGAAATTAGAATGAAAACCTCCCGTCCCACTGACTCAGTGGGAATATAATCATTTGCTTCAGTGTACCAAGGCTCTAACATCTATGGTCCATTAACAATACTTAGTTTACATCAAAGATTGGTCATCACTTTACTTCATCACTGTATTATTTCTTTTCCACGTTACCCCATCTTTTCTCTTTTTCCAGCAGTGAGTTGTTTTTCCTCCCGATGCTACTAAAATGTTACAGAGATGTCAGAATAGCTATTGAAACTCTTGAGGCTAACACTATATCATTTACTTTTCGTCCTTGATTGCTCACTTTATTTTTATTTTGTGAATTTTGAAATGCATGTACAAAATTCACTTCACAGTAACTGGTTATTCTGAAAATATGATTGTATAAAAATAGATCAAATAAGATATCCTGCAAATGTTTCATTAAATCAAGTTAAAATTTTCATATTTCTTTTCATAACTACAACATTTTAAAAACCAAGAGCTGATTTATAGAAATAATTTATCCATTTCTTCTGCATTATTTTTAATAATCTAGATGACATATTGGTCTTGGAAAATATTAAGCTTCAAAAATCGAGATGAAAAGGGAATGTATGCAAAAATATTTTGATAGTATGCTGAGATTTAGTTGTCTCGAGAGCTCATATGGGAAATAAAATGTTGGAAAATTTATTGTGTTCTTTAGCAGCTGGCAATGAATTTCAAAATACACAGTCTGAAATCCACTTAAATATTTTGTCCACAGCTTAAGTGTTTGTCAAGCTGTTACCACTTTGAAGTTAGCTGTTCTTCATTCTTGCATGATGTCATTGCCTTTTTATGTGGTCACCCCTCAAACTTTTAATATGTATTTGTCTTCACACTGCCTCTTTGAGGGATGGAAGTTCTAAAATCTTCACTTTACAGTTTTGAAACCAATACTCAGAACAGAGATGAACCCAAAAGGGAATTCCAAGGAATGTCTTGATTAATAGTTGTCATTATTATTACCATGCCTTCATGGTGATCCTGACAGTCAACACCTCTTGTTTTTTTCTGTCGTTCATCCTCCATTTTATCTCCTTTGTCAGTTTGTGCCAGGATAATGTGAAGGTATATAACACAGCAAGCAGCCCATTATGCAGCATTAATATTTAACTGAAAGCTGCCTCTTTAAAGACAAAAAATATAAAGTGATTCAGGAAAATTAAATATCTAAATAATTATATAGAGAGGGACACAGTAAGTGATACAAAAGAAAAAAGGCACATGGGAGACAAATTATAGACAGAGTAAATGCAACACAGAAGGCAAAAGGGGAGGTGAGGGAAAAAATGTATTGACTGGAAGAGGAAAACTGAAAACTGGCAAAAAGTTGAGAACAACTAAAAAAGGAAAAGAAAGATCACAGAAGGGAAAAAAGCTTAGAAGGAGAGAAGGGGAAAGCAAAGTGGGAGGAGTCATCTGATGTGTGAGTAATATCATCTGTAAATATTTTCTACAATTTTGAACAAGCAGTAATTCAAGCTTTTCTAGTTAATGCAAGTCAATATATTCTGTGTGTGAATAGTTTTCATTTCTTTCTCTTCCTCAAACTTCTTATGAATTCAAATCATTCTAATTTGTCTGGAATTACCTCTATGTTTAATGTTT